AAGAGGAGAGCGATGCAGGCACTGCCTGGGACACCAGGGACAGTCAGGAGTCAGCGGGGACAGAGCCCGGGACAAAGCCGTGTTCCCAGAGCAGCCCCGTCCCCCCAGCCCGGCCATCCCCCTGCTTCCACAGTGCCCCCTCTCCCAGCGAGGGAGCAGCTCCTGGGAAGGCAGGTGGCGTCCCCAGGGCTGTCACTGCGTGTCCTGCCCCGCTCCCGGGGGCTCCTCGGGGCTGTCGGAGTGCGCGTCGTCCACACCGAAGTCGCTCCAGTACGGGAGGCTCTCCGGGCAGCCCTGGGGGCTTCCCAGCCCGGCACAGCTGGGAATGGGGAACAGCTCAGAGGGGAGAAGGGATCCAGGGGAGAGTCAGGGCCTGAGGTGCCCCTGTGTCTCCCAGATCTCCTTGGCACAACCCCTCCCTGCAGCTGGGGCTGCCCTTGGGATGCCCCTCCCTTCCTACCTGGCTCTCGGGTCCCGCCCGGGCAGCGCTGAGGGCCGACCCTCCTCCTCCTGCACCCAGCCACAGTTGGACATGGCATAGTGCAGGATGGCCTCTGTCACTGTCTGCGTGCCCTGGCCCTGCACGCAGGCCTCGATGTCGGGCACGGAGAGCTGGCTCTGCAGGAAGAGGTGCAGGCGGCTGTCCGAGAGCAGCACCACGTTCTGCACCACCCTGGGCACGGAGAGAGGAGGGGGAGTCACCCTTCAGAGCACCACAGCCCTGCTGCCACCTCCCAGGCAGCGCTGTCCCCTCCCTGCCCTCAGGAATGCTGCACTCACTTCTCCAGGAACTGCTGCAGTCCCTGTCTCCGCTTCTCGATGAACTCATCAGTGCTGCCCACGAAGAAGGTGGATTTTCCAGGCAGCTCTGGGACAGGCCTGGGGGCACAGGGCTCAGGTCACCTCAGTGCCAGCACAGGGGACACTGGCACAGCACCTGTCAGGACCCTGCATCCCTCCAGGGAGTCCAGGTATCCCCTGCTCCGCTCTGAGGTTTCCATCCACGCCTGCTCTGAGCTCTCGTGGCTCACCCAGGGCAGGGAAAGGTTCTCCCCCAGCTGTCCCCGAGCAGCAGGAGGAGGGAGAGGAGGGTCAAGGAGCACTTACACCAGGCCAGCATTCTTCTGGAGCTGCCTCCTCAGCCACACGAACTCACGGTACCGGCGCCGCACGCATGAGGTCTTGGCAGTGAAGGCCTTGCTGTTGGTCTGCCAAAAAAAAGAACAGGTCCGTGGGGATTGTCCAGGGGATTGAGGGGCAGGGAGGAAGGGGAGGCACTCGGGGATCCATCCCCTCCACGCTGGGTCTCAGACCCACAGAAGGCAGGCCGGGCAGCTGAGGGTTCTCCCGTGGGAGCCCCTTCCACCCCCACGGGCTGGATAATCCCCCTGCTGAGCCCCAGCCCAGCCCTGCAGCTCCAGCCCCTGCCCCTCGGCCCCAACTCACGTGCAGGAAGATCTTGTAATCCACATAGGAATTCCAGGAGCCTTCGTTCTGCACGCGGGGGTCCTGCACTCGCACCGTGGTCACTTCCTGGGGGGCACGAGGGGTGTCCCTGCTCAGCCCCCCGGCATTCCAGGGACAGGGATCCCACCCCCACCACGCCTCCCTATCCCAGGGGGAGCACAGCCAGCTCCAGACACTCCCAGCCCTGTCCCCAGCTGCCCCTCAGCTCAGCCCCACGGACCCTTCAGCTTGCCCAGACCGCCCCGTGCTGCCCAGTTCCCAGCAGGAATGCACACGTGGGGAAGGGTCTTACTTCCTCTCGGTTCTCCAACATCCTAGAGGAGCCAGAGCCCAGCGGGAAACATCTGGGGAAAGAAAAGGGATTTAGGAGGATCAGCACAGTGGGGTGTTCCAGGGATTCTGCACTCCCCCAGCACCACCCACCCACACTCAGCTGCCCGTCCTGATCCACGGAATAAAGAGGATGTGTCCAAATCCAGCAGCCCACAGGGAAGGGAGAATCCAGCACCTGCTCCCGAGGCAACTGGGGCTCCCTCTGGGATGTGCTGGAGGGCGTGGGGTGACCAGGGCTGGGACCTGCAGCAGCCCTGTCCTCAGGCCACTCTGCCCAGAGCTGCTCTGGGATCCTGCAGCCCTTGGGAACAGCAGAATTCCTGGATCCCGGAGTGAAGCAGAGCCCAGCCCAGCGGGCTGTGACCCCCGAGGAGCTGCTGGTGCTGCTCTCCCACAGCACATCCCTGCTCCCGGGGCAGGAATGGGGGTTTCTGGGAGAGCCTTTGCCCCGGGGGGAACTCCTGTTAGCCAGGGAGAGCCCAGCTCCCGGTTTGCTCCTGCAGAGCCCACACTGGGAGCACAGGAGGGAGCCAGGGTGGGAAAACCCAGCCCACTCCCACAGGGGCAGGTCTGCACCCACAGCCGGGGGAGCCGGTTTGGCTGGGGACGAGAATTCCCTGCTTTTATCCCGGCTCCCTTCTCCCAAAGGCCTCTCCTGCAGCAGGGAGCTGGAGCAGGAGCTCAGCTGGGATGTCCAAGCAGGGAACACCACAAATCCACACCAGGGAGGCACCTTTCCCAAAATCCAGCCTGAATTTCCCCCCCCCGACACAGCTCCAGCCGTTCCCTGGGGTCCTGTCACTGATCCCAGAGATCCTCCTGGATCCTGCCCCACTAGTACATTCTCCTGCAGGAATCCCCGCTCTCCAACAGCAGGAACACAGTGCCAGGGCTTGGAATAGGGGCAGGACATCCCACTAATCCACGATCCTGGCAGTGAAATCCCTCTGGACACACACACAGGCCAGGAACACTCGTCAGGGGGAGCTGGAAGACCGAGCGTGTCCCGTGTCCTGGTTCCACCTCCGGCCCCGGGATCGCTTGCAGGGAGGTTTTCGGGATGAACCCACAGCTCTGGGACTTCACCCAGCACATCCCAAGCTCCCGAGGAGCCAGCCCTCCCTCCTGGAGCGATCCCCATTCCTTGGGAAGAGGAGGAGAAGGGAAGGGGCCAAATGGGCCACGAGTCAGTCCTGGGGGAGCTCTGAGAGCTTCCTGGGCCTCCCCCTCAGGACCGGCTCAGCAGCACAGCCGGGACCATTCCGTTCCCAAATCCCAGATCTGTGGGATCGCAGCCCCACAAGTGCTGGGATGAGCCCTGTGGAATCATCCCCAAGCTCCCCCCCCGACGTTGCTTTCAGAGCTCCTGCTCTGCCCCAGCACCTTAAGAAGGCAGGAGGGAGGCTCGGGAGTTGCCCAGCGGAGCAGCAGAGGGATGCCAGGAGCAGGAATTTCATGTCCCGAGGTGCTCCCAAGAGCAGGGAGCCCTGGGGGAGGTGGCTTCCCTGCAGCCAGGCCGCGGGAAAAGCGGGATCAGAGAGCCCAGGAGCTCGGGTCCCTCATCCCCAGGAACACCTAATCTCGTCTGGGCTCTACTGGGAGTTAATTGATCCCGATCATCAACTTCCAGCCCCCGGGGGGGGGGAGCAGCTCGGGATCCACCAAATCCTCCTGCAGGGATTGTGGTGAAAGCCTCGTTTGAAGGGGCTCTGGGATTCCTGGCTTTATTTCCCTGCAATTCCACCTCTCCCGCAGCAGCCTCTCGCCTGTCCGGGATCGGGGGCTGGAGGAGCCGCAAATCCCATGTGGAATTTGCCCTCCCCCTGGCCCCGTTCCCACGGCTGTTGGAAAGGGAAAGTGTTACTCGTTATCTCTTCTCCACCTGGCCGGCACATCCCTAAGTGCCTCTGGAATGCGGGAATGCTCCTTCCCACCCCCACAGCCCGGGGGGGGAGTCCAGTTCAGCTCCCAGCTCCAGCCTGGCCTCGGGGAAAACCCTCACGGGGAGGATCCACGGCAGGAGAACCGGGAATGAATCCCGTTTATTCCTGATTTTCCCTCGTCGCGCTCGGACGCAGGCACCGGGGGTGATTTTTGGAGGCTGTTTTCCCTGCCAGGGAAGGAGAGGGCTCCCTCTCCACCCCGAGCTCAGGGAAAACCCTCACACAGCGGGAAAAATCGGGATTAATGGCATTTATTCCTGCCACGCCCGGGCACCTGTAAAGCAGATCTGTAACGCACCGGGGGGGGGGATTTTCGGAGGCTGTTTCCAGCTCCAGGGGAGGAAAACCCTGGGATATCCCCACGGGTATCCCAAAATTCGGGCCCCCGGGGGGAAGGGGAGGATGCACCGGGGCCGGGCCGGGCCGGGCCTCGAGAGGCCGCGGATGGGGGCGAGGCCCAGCGCCGGCCCCGGATCCTCACAGGGGGGCTGCGGGGGACCCCAAAGGCCGCTCCCCCGAGGGACCCCCGAGGGACCCGCCCGATCCCCCCCGTGCCCGCCCCGGGACCCCCCCGGGGTCCCCTCACCTCGCACAGGACGCGGCCCCTTTAAGCGGCGGCGGCGGCGCGCGCCCTTATAGCGCGGGAGGGGCGGGGGCTTCCGGCGCGGGGCATGGCGGGAGTTGTAGTTCCCGGCGCCTCCGGTTGTAGTTCGGGAGCCGCGGCCCGCGGAACAAGGGACGGGAGGGGAAGGGACGGCCTCGGGCCGTGCCAGGGGAGGATCAGGTTGGACAGCAGGAGGAATTCCTCTATGGAAGGGGTTATTAAGCATTGGAAGCGGCTGCCCAGGGAGCGGCGCAGCCCCCACCCCTGGGGGTGCTGAGAGAAGGGCGCGGATGCGGCCCTTGGGGACATCGCTCGGCAGCGCTGGGCTAACGGTGGCACCCGAGGGGGACCACGGAGGGCTTTCCCGACCTCACTAAGGCGTTCAATCAGATCACTGATCACCCACCCACCCTGAGCCGTGACTACAACTCCCGGCGTGCCCCGCGGTGTCCCCTCTGTCCCGGTCCCCCCCCTCAGGACCACAAGTCCCGGCGCTCCCCGCGCGGGGCGCGGCGCATGCGCGGTGCGCGCGGCGGGCAGCGGCGCTGGCCGGGCTCTTTTGTTCAGGGCGCGGACGGAGCGCGGCCAGGCCCGGCCCCCCCTGCGGCCCCCGACCTCTGCGGCCCCAGACCCCCAGCGATCCCCGACCCCGAGCGATCCCCACCCTCAGCACACACCGGCGGCGGGGCTGTGCAAGGTCCCGGGCAGCGCGGGGCAGCGCAGGGGGCGCGGGGGTAATGGGGGAATTTGGGGCGGGAGGGAGATGAGAGGGAGGTTTGGGGGTTTGGGGGAGGGGGGCTGGGGAGGGTTTGGGGGTGCTGGGGAAGCGTTGTTGGGGTGGTTGGAGGGGGGTCAGTGGAGGGGTTTGGGGTGCGGGCAGAAGGATCGGGAGGATTGGGATGCTGAGGGGTCAGGGGTCAGGAGAGGGCTGAGAAGGGATCTTGGGGATTGGGATGCTGGGATGTCAGTGGAAGGGATTTGGGGGCTCAGAAAAGCGTTTGGGGGTTGGGATGCTGAGGGGTCAGGGGTCAGGGAGGGGGCTCGGGGGGGCTGAGAGAAGGATTTTGGGGGATTGGGATGTTGGGATATCAGGGAGGGTTTGGGGGCTCAGAGAAGCACTGGGGGTTGGGATGCTGGGGGCCGGTGGAGGTTGTTTGGGTTGCAGGGAGAGGGGTTTGGGGTGTTGGGATGTCAGGGGAGGGGGTTTGGGGGCCCGAGAGAAGCCTTTTGGGGTTGGGATGCTGGGGGAGCAGCAGAAGGGGCTGGGGGTGCAGGGAAAGGCATTTTGGGGGGATTTTGGGTGCTGAGAGAGGGGCTCAGTGGGGGGGGGTTAGGGGTGTTCTTGGGAAGGGAACTCCAGGGAAAGGGGGAGGCTGGGGAAGGAGCAGGGGAGGATCCAGGCTCCAGCTGGGAGCGGGGAGGGACAAGTGTCAACTTTTGGCGGGGAGAATGAGCGGGAAGAGGCTGCGGGAATGCCGGGAATGGGGCCGGGCAGGGAGAGCTGCTGGGGGGGGATTTGGGGCCGGGGGAGAGCTCCCCATGGAACCCCAGGGGTAGGGGTGGCAGGAGATGGGATAGGGAAGCTGGGATGTGTCAGGACAGGCTTTGTCCAGCTCTTTCTGGTGGAAATTCGGGAGCTGGGGGGGTGGGCAGCGCGCTTGGAATGGGGGCTGTGAGGCCTTTGGGATGGAGCAGGACCTGTGGAAATGTTGGATCTGGGGCTGGGGCCGAGGAAGGGGCGGGTGTGGAGCTGCCCTGGGATCAGGGTTTGGCTCAGGGTGCTCCTGGAATAGCTCCCCTGCTCCCACGGGGCCTGGAGCAGACGGCAGCGGCCTCGTTTTGGGTGGAAAACGTCGGGAATGGGGATGGAGGTGATGCCTGAACCTTCCAGGTCCTGCTGGGAGGGAGCTTGGAAACTTAAAAAATAGGGACAGATCCCAAAATTCCTCCCAAAACTGGGGGGGGGAAGGTGTTTGCACCCTGGGCTGGGCCCAGGCTCGGTTTCCTCTCCGTGCTTGGGATCCCAGTAGTGGAAAAGGGAAGAGGGAAAAGCCCAAATATCCAGGGAATGGGCTGGGAGGACCAGGAATGCCCCTGGGTGCAGCCCCTGAATCCCTTGGGATGAGGCTGGAATGGGCTGGGAATCCTCCAGGGATCCCTGCAGGACTCAGGGCGGTGTTTTGGGAGAACACCACAAATCCCTGCTGGGATTCCACGATTTCCCTGCTCTGGAGCAGCTCAGGAGCTGTCCCTGCTGTCACAAAACTAAACCCAGCCAAGCTGGAGGGAGGCAGGAGCTTCAGAACTTCCTTAAAGCTCAGCTGAACTGTTAATCCTTCAGGATGCAGCCAGCGGATCTGGATTAAACCTCCTGCTCTTCCTCCTGCCCCAAAAATGCAGGGACACCTTCCACTAGTCCAGGTTTGCTCCAATCCTGGCCTGCAAAACTTCCAGGGATGGGGCTGTTGGGATACAGGGAGTAGGAACATCCAAAAATTCCCCCAACTTGGTTTTCCATCCCAGGGGGAGTGAAACGTGTGTTTGAAATCCTTGGGGAGGAGGGAGAGGGAGTGGATCCCCCTGAGCTGCCTTCCCAAATATCCAGGGAGGGATCAGGCCGTGTTTCAACACCCAGCACTGCAGGGTTTGGATGCTGGAGGCTGATTATTCCATGGAGTTATTCCCAGTGTGGAGCAGCTTGGATGCTTTGTGGATAGATCCAGGGGAGGGTTGGGAGCCCCTCTGAGCTGCTGTTTTTCCTGCAGTGCAGGGAGAGGCCTGTGCAGGAGCTCTGCTCCCTGCTGGCTCTGGGAATGTGGCCTCATCCTCCTGGCTCTCCAGCCCGGCTCCCACGCCCTGGGATTGGATGCCCTGGAAGGAACAACCCCCAAATATCTGGGAGGTTTGGGGAGGTTCCTGCAGCCCTTTTTGGGGGAAGCTCCTTCCCAAAGTGCTCCCAGCCTTGGATTTGCATCTTCCCCGCCCAACTCCTGCAGAACGTGAATGGATCTGGGGTGTTGTTCCTTCTCTGTATCCCTGGAATTCCAGCAGCTCCTCCCTGAGCTCCCCTTGGCTCTCCCATTGGTCTTGGATCCAGCTGCTGCCTCTGGAATCCTCTCCGGGCCCAGCCGAGCCCCTCAGGTGCCTGAGCAGCTCATCCATCTGCAGGCACTGCCCACAGAGCTTTCCCTGGAGCCCCCTTGGCTGCAGCTGAGGAGAATTCCTTGCTGGGAGCAGGAATCCCGAAATCTCCCCCCTGCAGGCACTCCCGGCGTTTATTTGGAGCCTCGTTGGGAATCACCTTGGAATCTCCTCTTGCTGGGCTCTGCCCCCTTGTCCAGCAGCCACGTGGGGCCAGAGGAGGAGGATGGAGGGGAGAGGAAGGAACTGGCTGAAGAATTCCAGAGTGAAACACGATCCTCCTCTGACTTCCTGCTGCTCCTGGGCCGGGATTCCATGCCGGAGGCTTTTCCATTGTTGTGCTGCACACCCAGCTGTGGCTGTGCCAGCCCTGCCTCCTCTTCCTCCTCCTCCTCCTCCTCCTCCCAGTCTGCAGACCTGCAGGAGCCTCGCTGCTCCAGCTGTGCTTCCCTCTGGAATGGCACTGGAGGTGCTGTTGGGAGCTGAGGGAAAAGCCTCTCAGGCTCTGTTTTGGTGGGATCTTTCCAGGGGGTTGGTTGGGGTTTGGTTTTTTTTTTTCCTTCATTGAATAAGGCAAAGAAACTTCATCTTTGGGGGGGGATGGATGGAATCATGGAATCATGGAATGGTTTGGTGGGAAGGGGCCTTAAAGCCCCCTCAGCGAGGGGAGGAAAGGGAAGGGAGCAGGTTCAGGAGGGACAAGGCGAGGAGCAGCTGATGTGGGAAAAGCCTTCCTGGAGCTGGGGAAACGAGGGGCTGGAGAGGCAGAAACAGCCAAAGCTTTGAGTCAAAATCCCAGGGTTTACAGGAATCCCAGGATTCCTGGCCTGGCCTCCAGCAGAATTCCCGGGGTGGGGGCAGAGCTGACCCCGGCGCTCTCCCCGTGCAGCAGCGTCGCCCGAAAGCTGAAAAGCTGGCCAGCACAATGGGAAAAAAACAGAACAAGAAGAAAGTGGAAGAGGTCCTAGAGGAAGAGGAGGAGGAATATGTGGTGGAGAAGGTCCTGGATCGGCGGGTGGTGAAGGGGAAGGTGGAATATCTGCTCAAGTGGAAAGGATTCTCGGAGTAAGTGCTCTGGGGGTGTCCCAGCATCTCCCGTGCCTTTGGATCCCAAAGATTCTGGGCAGGATCGGTGTCCCTGGGGCTCTCCTGGGATGGAGAACGGAGCAAACGGGGAAAGGGCAGCTGTGGGGATAAACCAGCCCTGCCACACACCCTGAGCTCCAGGGAGAGCAGGGTGGGAAAATCCCACTGTGCCAAACACCCCAAAATCCAGGCAGGGCCTGGGTGGGAAAATCCCACTGTGCCAAACACCCCAGACTCGTGGCTTGGGGTGGGAAAATCCCACTTCTGCCCTGCAAACAGGCCCTAGGGAAGTCTTCCCCTTCCCAGTGAGGGACGAGCAGCCAGTGAAATGCACTGCAGTTCTCTCCTGAGAAGGGGAATCCTCCAGCATTCCCACCTGGATCAGGCCAGGGGCCGACCCGCTGCTCCACGACATCCAGGATTTTCTCAGCGCGGAAAAGCCGCAGGGAGCTGCAAAAACTGAGCTGCTGTGTTTGCTTGCAGTGAGGACAACACCTGGGAGCCCGAGGAGAACCTGGACTGCCCAGACCTCATTGCAGAATTCCTGCAGTCCCAGAAAACCGCCCACGAGAGCGAGAAATCCGAGGGCAGCAAACGCAAAGCGGAGTCGGACTCGGAGGACAAGGGGGAGGAGAGCAAACCAAAGAAGAAGAAGGAGGAGGTGAGGCAGGGTGGGGGTGCTGGGCTCACCTCCCTGCCCCTGGCACAGCGTCTGACACCTTCAGCGGTCACTCCAAACCGTTTTTCCCCGAGGAATGGGAGCTTTGATTCCAAAGCAGGGCAGCTTTGGAAAGCTGGAGCCTTGGGAAGGAGGCATGAGCTGCTGTCTCAGCTCAGCCTCCCGGTGAATCCAGAGGCAAAAAGGGTGAATCCAGCCCCCAGCTTCTCCTGGAGAGCCCCAAGAGGGTTCAGGACTCCCAGGGGCAGGAGCTGCCCCTGGAAGAGGGGGATGAGGTGGAGCACAGAGCTTCCTGCTCGTGGTGCTCCAGCTGCTCGGGAAAATGGGCACTGAGAGGCTCTGCAGTCTGGTTTCCATCCCAGGAGCTGCTGGATCTTGGCAGGCACAGGGCTTTGAGCAGCTGGGCCTTGGGAGCTGGATCTTTCTCCTGCAGCATCAGCTGAGCATTCCAGGAGGGCACCTGAGGGGGATTCTCGGGTCCCACAGGGTCATGGAATGGTTTGGGTGGGAAGGGACCTTAAAGCCCACCCAGTGCCACCCCCTGCCTTGGGCAGGGACACCTTCCACGAGCCCAGGTTGCTCCAAGCCCCGTCCAACCTGGCCTGGGACACTTCCAGGAATGGAGCAGCCACAGCTGCTCTGAGAATTCCATCCCAGCACCCCCCCCACCCTCACAGGGAAGAATTCCCAATATCCCATCCCTCCCTGCCCTCTGGCAGTGGGGAACCATTCCCTGTGTCCTGTCCCTCCATCCCTTGTCCCCAGTCCCTCTCCAGCTCTCCTGGAGCCCCTTTAGGCCCTGCAAGGGGCTCTCAGGTCTCCCTGGATCCTTCCCTTCTCCAGAGGAACCCCCCCAGCTCTCCCGGCAGAGGGATCCAGGGAGCAGCTCCCTGGCCCTGGCATTGCAGGCTGAGCCTTCCTGAGCAGCCCCCAGCGTGTCCTGGGGACCAGAACAGGGCCGTGGTGTCACCCTGGGGACCAGAACAGGGCCGTGGTGTCACCCTGGGGACCAGAACAGGGCCGTGGGTGTCACCCTGGGGACCAGAACAGGGCCATGGTGTCACCCTGGGGACCAGAACAGGGCCGTGGGTGTCACCCTGGGGCCGCTCCAAGCGGGAATTCCGTCTCTTTCCCAGTCGGAGAAACCGCGCGGCTTCGCCCGAGGCTTCGAGCCGGAGCGGATCATCGGCGCCACGGACTCCAGCGGGGAGCTGATGTTCCTGATGAAGTGGTGAGTGTGTCTTGGGGGCTGTCACCTTCTGTGCCAGGGAGGGAAGGAGCTGCCGCCCGAGGGACCCCTGCAGTCCCCGCCCCAGCTCCCGAACCTCCCTCTCCTCCCGCAGGAAGAACTCGGACGAGGCCGACCTGGTGCCCGCCAAGGAGGCCAACATCAAGTGCCCGCAGGTGGTGATCTCCTTCTACGAGGAGAGGCTGACATGGCACTCCTACCCCTCCGAGGACGACGACAAGAAGGAGGACAAGAACTAAGGCCTCGCTGCCCGCTCTGGGCGGCCTTTGGTGGAAAGATTCCGGACTGGGGGTGTGAGCAGGAGGGGATTGGAGGCGGCTCTGCTCGGGTGGGACGTGGAGATGGCTGGAGAAGGTGCCCTTTGAAGAGACCAGTATGGTTTCTGTGCCCTGCAGCTGCTCAACTGCTTCGTGCAGCTTCCCTGCTGTGTCCAGATTCCAACCAGCCCGGCTCAATTTGGAGGGGGAGGGAAAAACACAGGGGGATATCGGAGGGGAGGGGGATTTTGGGGAGGGGGTGGTGGGGTTGTTTCCAAGCAGCTCGTGGGAGTGGAAGCAAAGCCCCTTCCATGAAGGACTATCACTGGGATGGGTGGGCTGGGGACAGAGGGGGTGCAGATGGATACTGCTTAATCTTCAAAGACCATCTCAGCAACCCACAGCCTTCTTCCCACTAGTGTTAACTCTGCATTTTTAAGGCGTAGCATGTGTGTAGGTCTCTCTCTTTGTTTTGTTTTGTTTTCTCCTTTTTTTGTTTTTGTTTGTTTGTTTGTTTGTTTTTTCTTTTGCTATTTACAGGTGTAAAGGTCTTCTGGGGGGTGGGAGGGGGAGGTTTGAGAGGAGGAGGGAGGGAAATCAGTCTCATTCACTGGGGAGGGAGATGTGAGGTCTGGTGACAACATTTCCAGGTGGTTTCCAGATCTTTTTTTCTTTTCTTTTTTTTTTTTCTTTTTTTTTAATTATTTTTGGTGTGTTTGTGTTTTGTGGGTTTTTTTTTTAACAACATGAATTTAAAAAAAAAAAAAAGAAATTAAAATTTTAAAAAAATTAAAAAAAGGGAACAGGGAGGAAAAAAAAAAAAAGCCCAGTGTTGCTGACAGAACTGGGGAGACAGGGACAGAGACACGAGACTGAAACTGTGAATGTCCAAATCTCCAGAGCTGAGAATCCTCAAAACCCTGCGAGCGATTTTTAAGGGGAGAGGGGAGGGGGGTGGTTTTGGGGTGGGAGGGGGTGAGGGGAGACTTGTGAAAATGCAAACTTGTGATTCGTATTGTCCTGCAGCAGAACTGCCAGTTCCTGACACATGCATTGTATGGGGGGAGTGGGGGGGATGGATCTTTAACCCTTTTACAGCCTTTTTTACCCTTCTTTCCGTTCTAAGGTGCTATTTCTCAACAAAACAAAAAAAACCTGGGGGGGGAAAGAGACTTCTGCCCACTCGTTCCTTTTTGGATTTGTTGTGTCCAGCCAAGCAGCACAGGGAGCTGGGGGGGAGGGAAAGGAAACCAACAGCAGCACAAGATGAAAAACAACCCAACAACCCCCTCAGTTCCACGGTGTCCCCAGAGAGGGGGGTTGGGGGAGGTCGGTGCCGGAGCCCCGAACCTTCGGAGGGGTTCGATTTTATTCAAAACAAAACAAACCCTCAGATTTATTTACAAATACCGAAACTATTTAATTTGGGGGGAAGGGGGAGTCCTGAGCCCCACCAGACCTCCTGGCACCTCCTCCTCGGGGCTCTGTCCCAGGCCTGCGTTGTACAAACCTTTTTTTAAGAGCAGCATGTGTTGAGGTTCCTGTGAAAGCGTCGTTTCGATGTAAAGTACGTGTTTGGATTTTAACTTCATACCGAGCTCTGTCCGTTTTTTTGTCTCAATAAAATTTTAGATTTATAATCCTGATTTTTTTTTTTTTTTTTTTTTTAAATTTGTTTTGTTGTTTTGGCTCCTTCCTCCAGCTCTCTTTGGGGAGCGAGGTGAGTTGACCTCAGGTAGAGCAGGAAGGTGCTCCCTGAGCCAGGTTAGCTTGGATTCCAGGATAGCTGGTGGCTCTCCTGGAGCTTTGGAAGAGGTGGCAGCGGGTTCTGGAGCGGCTGGTCCTGATTTATTTTGGCTTCCACCTGGAGAAGAGAGGTTTAGACAGAGCCCTGAGCCCGGTCTTGCCGTGGAGACAGGAGGAGTAGCTGTGGTTTGGGACGTGGTTTGGTGTAGGAAGATGCTGCTGGAGGGTGTTCCCAGCCAGGATCCAGCTCCAGAGGTGGGTAAGTGGCCTTTAATTCCCTTCTCATCCAAACCTGGAGCAGACAGGGGGGTTTTGGTGGGGTTTTTAGGGCTCTGGCAGAGGTTCTGGTGAGCGTTTGGCAGGAGATGGTTTGACAGGAGATGGTTTGACAGGAGATGGTTTGGCAGGAGATGGTTTGACAGGAGATGGTTTGACAGGAGATGGTTTGGCAGGAGATGGTTTGGCTCCTCTCACCCCTGGTGTGGATGTGGTGAAGGCCCTGAGCTCCTGGGCATGAGGAGCAGAGTCAGTGCTGGGTTCTGGAGTGGATGGTGGTTCCTGAGGGAGGCTGATGGTTCCTGGCTCGGAGGTTCTGGTGTTTCCAGGGGTGCAGGATGGAGCAGGAAGGGTTTGGGTGGAACAGGGGCTGCAGGACTCCTGAGGGAGCCACTTGAAATCCAGGTTATTTGTGCCAGCACAGCCTGTACCCAGCAGGACAAGGAGATGCTGCCCTGGCCCAGCAGCAGCAGCAGCAGCAATTAAACCTGGATTAATCAGCAGAGAGGGCCAGGGTAACGTCCACTTAATTGAGCATCAGAGGCTGCAGGTCCCGGGGGAGCTCCGGGAGATCGATCCAGGTCGCTGGAATCTGTGGTTGCTCCGTGCTGGGGGCTGGGAGGGCTCTGGTGTGAGCTGCAGGATTTTGGGGCCCTGCTGTGGCACCTCCTGGGAAACTGAGGCACAGGGAAACAGCCCCTCGTGACTGGGGGAGAGCTGGGAGGGTTCTCCCCAGGGTTGGTGCTCCAGGTTGGAGCTGGAGCTGGAGCAGGGCAGGGAAGGGCAGGAGAGCCCCTGGGTGTCCCCACAAAGCCTGGGCTGAGGGCTCAGGAGCAGCTGGACCCTGGATCAGAGGGCTCTGAGCGGGCTCAGAGCTCCCAGGCCCCGCTGGAAGCCGAGGGATTCCTGCCTGGGAACGAAAGGGCTGGCAGGGCTGAGCTGGGAGGGCCAGCCCGGGGGAGGGACCTGGCCCAGCTCCCTGCGCTGGGCTGGGCACGGGCAGGGAGCCAGAGCGGCCTCTGCCAGCCTCGAGGGCTGGGACACCCTCGGGAGCCTCCCCATGGATTTGCTGGGCTGTTTGTGCCCAGGGAATGGCCTGTGCGGGCACAGGAGCAGAGGCAGGGCCTGGGAACAGCAGAGGATCTTTCCCAGAACCTCCCCCATCCCCCTCAGAAGGGCTGGGACCCCCTCACACCATCAGGGAGTGGGGGAATCCCTGAGGGTTTTGCTGCCAGCTGGGATTACATCCTAACCCAGCCCCTGAAGGAATGTGCGGAATAAATCCCCTGGAGCCCAGGAAGAGGGAGGGGAAGCACCTCAGAGTGTGGATTTAACGCTCCACATCCCCCTTGGCTGAGCTGGCCCGGATTCAACACCAGCACCGGGAGGAGATGGATCCTTCCAGTCCCACATGGAGAGGTTTGATCCGCAGGAACAAACTGGGAGCACTGGGAGACTGCTGGGGAACAGAGTGGGGCTGGAGTGTGATTTTGGCTGGATGAAAACCCCTGGAGAAAGGGATCTGCAAGGACAGAATACATGGAGATGATGGGGTGTGGAGGCACCAGGGTGGCATCCAAAATATCATTCCACACCAGCAATTCCCGGGAGCAGCTTTCCATCCCCTGCTTGTTCAGCCAGGCCCTGTGTGGGGTCTCCTGGAGGGACCCCCAGCACCACCCAAAATGCCCCTCCAGGGGCTCCTCTGCAGGATTGAGGAGTTGGAAACATTCCAGAGATGGAGGGTTCGGTGTCCTCGCTCCTGGCCGGGATTTATCCCACAGGGAGAGGGATGGGGCAGGATCTGGGATTATAAACACCCTCAGGATTGGATGAATTTTGGCTCAGTCTCCGATGCTGCATCCCAGACCTGCAGGGAAGGTGGGATGTGTGGAGCAGTCCCTGGAGCTGCAGAGGCCCACGGGAGAACAGGACACCGTGTCCTGGGAGTCCAAATTCCAAGGACAGGGATTGGGCTCGGCCTCGCACCTGCAGCACCTCCACCCAGGAACCCCCCACTTGCTCCACAGCAGCTGCAGGATTAACCAGGAGCACACTTTTCCCTGGATTTCTGTGGGAAGACCCCGCTGGGAAGGAAGGAAGGAAGCAGCTGAGGCAGAGCTGGCTGTTTCCCACAGAGGAGGAGCTTTTTCCTTTTCCTTCTCCTTCCATCCATCCCCTGCAGGACGACAGCAACTCCCTCCTCCCAACCCACTGCTGGAACTGGAGCCAGGAGCTACTGTGGGGGAAAAGAAGGTCCCTGCTTGGTTCCCCTGCCATGTTTAATCATCCAAATATGCAATAAAAAGCCCTGGAGCCGAGGGTGGTACAGTGAATAAGCCGTTTTTATTTTTGTCCTGTGCTCACACAATCTCTCTTCTTTCCCTGACAGGTCACAGATCATTCAAAGAAAAGTTTCTAAGAGGAAAAATAATTTAAAACATACGCACAGGGCTCCCTTCCAACCTCCCCACACCCACAGCTCCACCACTTGTGCTTCGTCTCACACGTCAGGATCCCGGGAATCGGGGATGGACGAGCCCACCGGGGTCTTGGCAGGTCCAACCACCCCTCAGTGCACTCCCAGGTCCAACTGCTTCTCCCAAAACCCGGAGAAAGTGCCCGTGGACACAGCACAGTCCAGTGGGCAGCTGCTCCAGGCCTCCCTCCTGCCTCTCCAGGTGTCCTTCCCTTGAGTGACCACCCGAGTCCGGCTCTCCCCTGGATCCCGTGCACAGGACTGGCTCGGAAAAGCCATTTTATTTTTTTTTAATTTTTTTTTTTTTAAGCATTTTGTTTGTTTGTTTGTTTGTTTGTTTCTGTTGCTGGTAAAGTCAGAACACTCCCAGCTGTGCTATATGGAAATACAGCTTCTAGGATGGTCTCCCTGCGGAGACCGACAGTGATCAAGGCACTACCCCCACCCCCCTCCTGAAAACAAAGGAAGTCAGACCAACACCTCGGGACAGAAGAGAATCCTATAATGTGATCACACGGTTACACGGAGTCTGTATGGCAAAGAGAACACTGAGCAGCTTGGAACGTCTGGGCTTCTCCCTTTTGTTTTCGCTTTTTTTACTCAACACAAGCACTTCTAGACCCTAAAGGGGGGGAAAAGAAAGTGGGGAGGTGGGGGCTGAAACCCCAGAAAACCCAAGCGCGGTTATGGGACAGGGACCTACAGCTGTCTAAGGCTCTAAGTGACAACCCACGGCCTGGGGGGGGTCGGGATCGGGATCCCACCACTCCCCTTGTGCTGTTGGCTGACCCAGGGGGGCCCTGGAGCCCCCCCAAATTCCTCCCCAAGCAGTTCCCCAGGCGGTCAGTGGGAGAAGCCAGGCTTGGCATGCAGGCTCTGCGTGCTCCGAGGGTGCTGGGGACACGGATCCTGCTGGATCCCTTAACCCTCTCCAGTCCCGCTCCCAAAATCCTGAAGCTCTCTGCCTCCCCGAGGCATCACATCACAACTCCTCCCCACTGGGAATGGTGCTTCCCCGCTCTGAGCTCCCTCAGGGCTGGAAAGGGTTAATGGAATTCACACCACGTTGTGTTTCCACGTGTGCACTGGTCTGATCTAGGAAAGGGATGTTGGTTAATCTGGAATTGAGTCGGATTGAATCACACACACCGATGGCAAAACGGGATCAGGAAAAGGAAAGGAAAAAGGGGAAAAAAAAAAAAAAAAAAAGGAGGAAGAGAAAAAACAAAACAAAAATCCAACTACCTGAAATCACAGAACTTTGGAAGTTCAGAAAAACGTCTCTCCTATAACTTGTTTTGTGGTTTAAGTTCATCCGCTTAAATTTCTTTTCTTATTTTAAAGCCAGTTCCTAACAGTAGTTTTTTTTTTTTTTTTTCTTTTTTTTTTCCACCTCTGCCAACCTCCCCAGCAGCGTTGCCAGCTCGTCCCTGCGCTCCAAGGATCCCGGGTTGTGGGAGGCTCCGGGCTGGGCAGCGCGGGGGGGGGCTCCGTCCCTCCAACAAACCCCCCAAAACCTCGGCCCCCCGCGGCCCCCGCAGCGTCCGGCAGCGCCAGATCCCCCCCGCGCGTGGTTGAGAAGATATATCGGATAAGAAGGCGTGAAAGTTCCTCTAAAAGTTACTTCCAGGCTCGGCCCTTCTCCAGTTCTCTCCCTCGTGGCGAGTGTCCCGCTCCTGCTCTCCCTGCCGCCCTCACTTCCTGCGGTCCTTCTGCTTGCGGTCCTGGCGCCGGGGCTGGGGCTCGGCGGGGCCGCGGGGGATGAGCAGGACGGAGCCGTCGCTGCCGTACTGCAGCGCGTACTGGCTGGGCGAGTAGGGCCGCCCCTGCTCGTCCCGCAGCCGCCCGAACACCTCCTGGTACAGGCTCTGCACCTTCTGCTTCATCTGCCGGATGGACTTGAGGAACTCCACCTTCTCCCTGAGCAGTTTGGACTTGTCGCGCTGCAGGTCCTCGACGTCCCGTTCCAGGTTGAGGATGGTGTCCAGCTTCCTCTTGCGGCAGTTCTGCGCTGCCATCTTGTTCTTGCCGCGCCGGCGGATGTCGCGGATGAGGCTGAGCTGGGCCTCGCTGAGCTGGTACTTGGACAGGAGCTCGTTGAACTCCTCCACGGGCAGGTTGATGATCTTGTCGTTGGTGAAGGGGATCTTCATGGCCCTGGCCCGGTGCTCGTCCCTGCTCATCTGCTTGTCCAGGAACTCGGACGGTTTCTCCTTGGGGCCGCCGCTCTTCTTGCCGGCGCTGGGGGCTTTGGACTCCTCGGGATCCAGCGCCCCCGGGGCCATGTTGTAGGTGTGGTTGTGGCCAACGTGCTCCAGGTAAGGCAGGTAATGGAGCTGGGCCGGGTCCTGGTAGCTCATGCGGCAGAACTTGCTGTACTCCGGCTGGTATCCCACCGCCCCTTCCGCTTCCTCGAAGTCCACGTTCTCCGAGTCGGAGCTGTAGCCCACGGCCCCTTCCTCGGAAAACGAGGAGGAGGACGAGGAGGAGGAGGAAGAGGACGAGGAGGACGAGGCTTCCGAGCTGCTCAGAGAAGCGGGGCTGTGGCCAGAATCCAGGGAAAGACCTGAGTCGGAGTCGAACTCCTCTTCCAGCTGCGAGGCCTGCACGGGGTTGAAGCCCTCCTCGATGGCCAGGTCCATGAGGCTGATCTCATCCAGCATGGCCTCGTCCAGGAGCCCTCCCAGCGGGTCGGGCAGCTCGGGCCCGGCCGTCTCGTTGCCCGTGCTGTTCATGTGGGGCGGGAAGAAGATCCCGCTCAGGTTGGTGGAGCCGAAGGTGCTGTTGAGGCCGGTGGAGTTGTCCGGCGCCAGCTGGAGCAGGGCCGAGCCGCCCGCCATGGAGGGGCTCTCGATCTCGGAGCTGAAGAGCGAGAAGTCCTGGGAGCAGCTGCCCAGCGAGGCCTGATGCAGGCTCACGTTCTGGTTGATGGGGGTGCCGGGGGCCAGGCTGTAGTTGGACGCCAGGAGGTCCCCGCCGGTGCCGCCGAACAGGCTCTCGCCCGTCGTGGAGTTCACTTCCATCGCCTGGAAGAGACGCGCGGGCAGCGCGGTGAAGGACGGCGGGCCGGGCTGGCAGCGAGGGGCCAGGACACAGCGGATGGGCCACCACAGTGTCACCACAGTGCCACCACAGTGTCACCACAGTGTCACCACACCCGCGCTCACGGAGCACCTGCAGGGACGAACCCCTTCCCGTCCCCCTCCCGGGGCTCACCTGCATCTCCATGATGGACATGAGGTCCTGCCACTGCTGCTCCAGGTCGAAGGGCGACTCGTTCTCGGCCAGGAGGGGGGACAGCAGCGTGGGGGGGGCCCGGCTCTGCCCGGGCACGGCTTCGCTCAGGGCGGAGACATCCGCGGCTGGGAACTGACCACGTGAGGGGAGTCAGGGCTGGAGCCTCGGCACTGCAGCCACCCCCAGCCCCGCGCCCTCCCCTCTGCTCCCAGCCACGGCCTGCCCCTGCCTCCCTGCCTCGCAGCAAAGCCAGGAGGCTTCAATTAACGGTGGCCCACCCTCTCCTCGGGTGGTTTCAAGGAGCCTCCTGAGCAGCCAGACCCGGTTTGCTGCGGGAAAGATGCGGGAGGCACCAAAATCCCAGTGAGCGAGGCAGGGAGAGCCCCTGGATCCGCCCCATCCGCTCACCTCCGAGCTCTCCCCGAAAGGCAAGGTGGCCTCCAGCAGCCTAAGGCACTCCTCCACGGACAGGGCTGTCTGATCCTCCGCACCGGGCACCTGGGGGGGAAGAAAACACAAGGAATCGTAGCCTCGGGATTCGGGAAAGGTGGTGCTGAGGGAACCAGCTCCTTCCAGCAGGGCTTTATTACAGCGCATCCAAAAAAGAGCCAGAGGCCCCACCCAGTGCTCCATCCTGCTGCTCCAGGGAACGGGAACGCGCCGGAGCCTCCCCTGCCTCCTGCCACGCCAGGACTGGCCACGGGGCCGAGGGGACTCTGCGGCTGCCGGGGACACGGGGACACCCGGCCAGCCCTGCCCTGGCCTCGCCAGCGCCAAACCCTGTCGCCCACCTGGGCCAACCCTGCTGCTGCAGCTCAGGGCGGCCCCCACGGAGCCCCCAAGCAGCGCCCGGCCCGGGGGCGTTACCTGCGCAGGGAAACTCTCCCCGGTCTCTCCATCAACTAGCAGGTTTCTATCCAAGACCTCAGTCCCTGCACTCCTCCAGCTGTCCCCGCGCTCCCTCCCATCGCTCAGCTCTTTGTCCACTTCGCTCTCTTTCTGCCGGTGGCTGTAGTCAAAAATCTCTCGCCCAGCGCCGAGATCAATATCCTGTCTCCACAGGATGTCAATCAAATCGATGTCCTGCAAGACAGACCACATTTCCTTCAGCCCCTGCGCTGGGGGGTCCCCACCCAGCGGTCCCACCCCCTCTCCCACCCTCTCTGCACCCCTCCGCCGTACCCCAGCCGCAGCCCACCCGGGAGCCCCGCTGCTCCTGCCGAGGCTCCGAGCCCTGAGGATCCGGAGCGGGCTCTGCGGGCTCCGCATGGCCGGCCCTGCCCTCCCCGCCGCCCATGGCCGCCCGCCCGCCGCCGGGAGGCGGCGGGAGCCACCTGGCCCGCGTCGCGGCGGTGGCTGCGCCGTGCCCGCCTTGCATCAGCCCGTGGTGCCATCCCGGCCATTTGCATAAGGGGTGGGGTGGCAGGAAAATCCCCGCATTCCCACCCACCTGATGCAACTTGAGCAGCCGCCGCCGCCGCCGCCGGACCCTTCCCGGGGTCCCCGCAGCCCCCTGCCGCGTGTCCCCCGGTACCTTTCTCATGTCCCCAGCTGCCGCCCGGGCCGCGGCACTCGCCGATCATGGTCCCCGGGGAGGAGGAGGAGGAGGAGGAGGGAGGAGGCGGCGGGGCGGGTTGGCCGGGGCGCGGTGCCGCTCACGCATCGCCGGCCGGGGCGGCGGCGGCGGCGGTGGCAGCGGCGGGGGAAACCGCGCTCCGCTCCGCCCCGCCGGCCACAGGTGCCCCCCGCCCCCGGTGCGGCGGATGCTGCTGCTGGAGCTGCGGCGGGCCGGGAGGCTCGGAGGGACCGGAGGGCTCCTCCTCCTCCCAAACCCCCTGCCCGCTCCCGGCTGCGGCGGCGCAAGCCCGCCCCCGGCGCAAGCCCCGCCCCTCCCTGCCGGGATGCGGCGCCGCCGGCCGCGCCCCTCCGCCCCGCCCCGCCCCCGGGGCGGTGGCCGCAGCCAATCAGCGCCCGCGGGGGCCGCCCGCTCAGCCAATCAGCGCCCTGCGGGCCACGCCCCCGCCCTGGCGCAGCGAGATCCCCAAAGAACCCCCAAACACCCCCACCCCACCCCAAAAATGAGCGACTGGGGTGGGGGGCACCGGGACCCCCCGGGCGTGGGGAGCGCAGCAGGGAGGGCACGCAGCGCGGGGTCACCTTGGCTGCTTCCCCCGGGACACCCCGACCCAGAGGGGGTGACCCCAATGTCGCCCCCCCAACTCCCCAGTGCGACCCTCAGGGCTCCTCACCTCCCCAAAACCCCTTCACCCTCCCACCCCCAGACCGTCCCAGCAAACCCCGGCGGTAACCACAGCATAGCCCCAGGAGCCAAGGCCAAGTGTGAGGAGATCCCCCACGCCGGGGAGGAGGGGGCGCAGGGCTGAGCCCCCGCAGCTCATCACATGTCCCGCGGCCGCGTATTTTTATCCCCGGGTGTTGTGGAAACGGGCCCCGGGCGGGCACGGAGCCTCCCGCCCTCCCCACCCCCAATGCTGCAGAGGGAAGCGCCCGGGATTAAATCCCAGCTTTGTCTTTAAGCCCGGCGGCCACCCCGGATCAAAACGGGCATTTAGAATTTTTTTTTTTTTTTAAATTTTTCTCTTTTTTTTTTTTTTTTTATTTTTTTATCTGGGGGATAAAATAATTGGATTCCGTATTTCGCAACTGCAACGCCCAAAAAAAAAAGCCCCTGCACAGCGTTCCCAAAATTATTTATATCAGCCATATTCCCACACACACACACTCCCCAGCAAGGTCGTGCCTGGCCCAGGGAGTCGCAATGTGCCAGGGAAAGTCATGGAAAAATTTAAAGCCCGGCCCTGGAGCCATCTGCAGATCATCACCACCCGCCCCAGGCCCTGCAGGTGCCTCCCAGGGAGCTGCAGAGTTCCCAGGATATTCCCCTTGGAAAGGTCTGCGGGAGGGAGTCAAGGATCGGGACAAAGACACCAAAACCAAGGGGAAAAAATTCCCCCCAAAAAACCCTAAAATAAGGCTGGTTTTGAGCGTGGCAGCAGCGAGTTGGGCTGGCTGGCCCCGGGGGAGGAGGGCACAGGGATGGTGTGACTGGAGTGACGTGGGAGCCAGACGGGATTTCCTGGAGCTGGGCCCTGGCAACAACACCCTCCCCTCCCCTCCTGTCCATCCAGGGGCTTGGGGGCAAACAGCTCCCCGGGAAGAGCAGGGATGCTGCAGCCCCCGGGGCAGGCACGGTGCAGATCTCCACACCCTTCCCGGCAGGAGATTCCCAGCCCAGCCGGGAGCCTCATTCCCAGCACGTCCTGGGATGCAGCTGCACACAGGCCTCTGGACAATGGGACTCACCAGCCTTCACCTCCCAAATCCGCAGCGTTTCTCCCCAAACTCTGAGCTCTGATTCCCCACCCGGCACTGGGAAGGCTCCCCAGGCCCTCAGCCAGGAATCCCAGCCTCGGGAAGGACGGCGGGGCCTTCCAGGAGTGACCTTGCACAAGGCATCTCATCACATCCTTCGCCATTCCCGAGGCAGGGAATTGCCTCTCCCCGTTCCCAGGGAAGCAGCACGAGGTGGGAAGGTTTGGCCTCGTGTTCTGTGACCCTCTGACACCCCCAAGGTCACTTCCCAACCCAGAGTGGGATTTTCCCCCTCAATCCCACAGCCCACCAGAGCCAGGAGACCCCCGTGGGAAAACCCACGGAAAACCTGCAGGTCCAAGCAGGACACCATTCCCAGGGAAGGATCCCGCTGCTCATCCATCAATCCCAAACCCAAACCAAGCATCACCTTTGTCTCTGCGGCGCTCACGCCCCTTCCCACAGCCATTCCCACGCCCCATTCCCATTCCCATTCCCTGCCTGCTGCTGCGCCGGAGCCACATGACAACCGCTCCCAGCTGCCCTCCCCTCCTGCAGGGACAGGGCTGGCACGGCTCAAATTCCACTCTTCCCATGCCCAGACACGATCTGGGAGACGCCGGAGCGACGCTGGAAGGACCCGAGGCCGGGAATCACCACTGACCCCCCCACGATCCTGGAAGGACCCCAGGCTGGGAATCAACACCGATCCTGGAAGGATCTGAGGCCACGGATCACCACTGAA